GAAATATTATATTTACAATATCAAAGAAATCTTGAATCAAAACAGTTGTTCCAAGGTAATGTTGATTCACAATATTCTTCACAATTCAATAATTATTATGGAATTGTGAATACAGATTATTCAAGGAACATGACTATGATTCTGCCAAGTTTGGGTCAATCAAGTCTTGTAGATCAACAAATTTGTCACGCTTAACCACACATTGAAGAAGAAAAAATTTTGAGTATCACAACGTTTCAAAATTTTGAAGACCCAAACAAACATTCAATTGAATTAGATAATCAAGTTGATTGCAACAATGGTGAGAACATTGAAATTGATAAAAGAGAGGTCACTGAAATTACTTTGATCAAGAAGTTTGAAGATGATGATGAAGAGGTGAAGTAAGAGAAAAACGTTGAAGTTAGCCAAGAGTTTCTAATGACAGAACTATCATCTCTTGATTATTATGATGGTTATGAGTTCGCAAAAGAAGAAGATCTAGTTGAACTCAATGGAAAAGAAGAAATAAAAGATGAGGTAATAAAGTTAACATGTGCATTAGAGAAGTTGATTGATGATGCAATTGATATTCCAAGATTGATAATTGAATGTCCAACTGAATCTAAGACAGAGCAAAGTCTGGAGAGTATCCAACATCAACATAAAATGCACTTCATTGATTTTCTTGGTGTGGAGCAATTTAATTTGACTTTCAATGCTTGTCTAATTAATCTTGTCAACTAGTTGAAGCATATAGAGAATAACTTTCAGAAATGAGACTTCTTTGCATATAATTTATGGAAGAGAGACAAACATCTAAAGTATTCTAAGTATCTTTTTATTTGGCATGACGATGGCAGATCTCTAATATGAACTCGAGGACGAGTTCTTTCAAAGAAGATGAGTCTGATGTAGGACAAGATTATAAGAATTTTTATATTTTTAGTTTTAATATTTTTGATATATTATTTTATTAGGATTTTTGTAATTTAGTATGAATAATTTAGAATTATTAGGTTTCTTAATTTTATTATTTTGGAATTAGATTTTGACTAGGATTTTAAATAGTTTAGAATTTTAGTTTCCTATTCTCTTAGGTTTCCTAATTTGTATTGATTTAAGTTTCCTAATTTATTTTAGAATTACTTTTCCTACAAGTATCAGGTTTAGTTTATTATAAATAGCTATGTAAGCCTCATGGCAAAGACAACTTTTATATACAACTTTTATTCATTCAATCAATAATATTGAGATATTTTTTTATCCTTGTGGATTCAAGGTTCTATTTTTCTCGTGGATTCGAGAGTTCCTTTCGTCTACTAGAACGATATCTAGTCCCTGTATATTCCGTTGCGTCATATGTTGTATTTGTTTAAATTTAATTTTTATTTTTTATTTTTTGAGTCAACCTCACATGAGCTTTAATCGAATTGATCACAAGAGTAACTTGGTTTTAAACAGTAGATTGTTCAAATTTTTCTTGAAAAATAAGTTTTAAAATATGTTTTACCTCCATTTTTATGCATAATGAACCTATTTTGAGTTTTTAACGAATCAAACTCGAATTGCTTGATTCATTTTACAACGATACTTGTGCCTAAGGGTGTGTGCAGGTATGAGTTGATTTTAGAAAAAATCATCAACCAGCCAGCCAATCCTAGGTAATTTGAGAATTTTTAATCTACTGCAAATCTACTTATCCACTAAATCATCGGGTTAATTTCAACATATTCAAACGAATAGTTTGGGCAAGTCGATTGTGTTAGAAATACAAAATGAAAAAGAACGTCAATTACCATATAACCTTAGTTTTTTTACAAATTCAAAAAAAAAAAAATAAAAAAATTGTTATTTATTCTTAAAATTCCAAAACAATCATGTTGGGTCAGTTTGTAGACATGTTGACAAATTTTAATACATAAACTAATTAACTTGTTAGTTTTTACCATCTAACCTACACAATTCAATCCACTCATCTTTAATTTGAATGGATACACGATTTTTTTGCGCAGCCCTAGTTGTGCAAGACTAATAACAGGGCATCATTCTCATTTGCATTGCACCATGCAATGCAAGTAGCCAAAAGAAGAACTACCTACAATTTCACACGTGTTCTTTTTTTGATATTTTCGGTTCAACCAAATTTAAGAATTGTTTTCACATAACATGTGGTCTCCTCATACAGTGGGTCTACAAATCTTTAAAATATAAATTAATAAATAAATAAGGAGAAATTATAATATAAAAAAAACTCTAGAATTTGATTCATGTAACAAAATAAATTGTGAATTTTTAATTTTGTTATTAAATTTTAATATTTTGATTTGTTTTCAATATAAATCATCCACCTATTTTCGTTAATAAAACTGACAAAAAAAGAAGAAGAAGATATTTTAGTCATTAAATTCAATATATTTACATAAAATATCTAATATATATATATATATATATATATATATATATATATATATTGTTTTTCTTTTTCCCCAATCTCTCTCTCCCGTGGCTGCTACTGTTGCTAGGAACACTAGGGTTATTTTTTATATATCTAAACAAAAGGTTTTAAATTATTATCTCTTTATATTATTTTATTTTCTATCTCCATTAATTTAAATAAAATATAACTGTTATTATATCAAAATATACTTACTAACTTGCCCCCTATTTTTTTTAAATAATAAATCTTGCCTCTAAATTAAAGACTTTCATCATAAATTTATTTTATGTTTAAAATTAATTAAAAGACCCTTCAAATATTTAATTTGCACTTTAGGATTCACTATCAAAATATTTGAGATTGTGAAATTATTATTATTTAATTATTTACTTGATTTGTATATTCGAGTTCTCATAAATGGGGTCTACACCTGATGTGTTTGATTTTGTGGGTATAGGTTCAAATTGTGCATTAATTGGGTTGATCTCGGGGTTGGGGCAGTGGTTGTTGCATTAAGGAAACAGTAGGAATACTCTTTTTAGAGGCTTATTGTAATCTTATTTTAGAGGCTTATTTTTCTTAGATAATCAGCTATGATCAACATGCTAATTACACTACAGGAAAAATGGATTTTAACGGTGTTTTTTTAATGGCGTTTTTTGAAACGTCACTTTTTTTTTTAATTTTTAACGGCATTTTATAACCGCCGCATATTTTTTAATCAAAACGGCACCGTTTTATAAATGAAGGAGTTTAAAAATGCCTCCAAATACGATAGGAACACGAACTTTTTAAAACCCTTATTTTGAATCTGAGCCATTTCTCTCTTTCAACCCTTGCATGCACACGAGTTGAGATCCTCTCCTTGAGCTTTCTCCTTTCTTCCTTACTTACAACGGTGGACATATATCTTGAGTTGATCCAACGGTTTAGGTAAATTTATTTAAAAATTAATAAAAATTTTTAGTCATTCGGTGTTTCAATTTTATTTTTAGTCAATATTTTTAAAAATTAATAAATATACAAAAATATAAAAAATATATTGAATTTTTATATTTTTTTATATGTTTTTGATATTTAGTAAATTTATTTAAAAAAAATTTCACAAATATTATACTTTTTAAGTATATTTATGTTAAGCATGTCTAAAAAATTTTTAAAAAATATTTAAAAAATTTAAAAAATTAGTGAAAATAAAAAAAATACAAAAAACGAAATGTAAAATTTTTTAAAAAATAAATTTTAAAAACTAAAATAAAACAGAGTGATTATCGGTGGAGTCTTTGACCGGCAACCGGTCAGTTCGGTAGAGACCTTTCAAAGCACAGAGCACTCCATGTAGGGTCCCGTCCCGCCCAGCACTGCACAGATTCATTAAGGTCTGAAAAAGTAGGGTTGTGTCGTTTTCACATAGCCACTTTGTAATTTTTGTTATGATATTTTTATGATGAAAAAAATTATGATTTTTGTGATAAAAAAAAGTTATGACATTTTTGTGTAATTTTATTTTAGCATCTCCCATTTATTTAAAATCCTGCTATTGATTCCCCATACAGTTAGGTTCTGTTTAGAAACTTGATTATTTTAGTTTATTTCTTTATTTTTTAACCATGTTATGAGATGAGAAAAAAAAAGAAGCTATGTTTATGATGGTTTGTAATTTTTTTATAGTTGAAGGAATAATTGTGAGAGAAAAAATAATTAATTGATGTATAAAATATAATATTTTATCTTATTAATTATTATTATTATTATTTTTTTACCTTTATTCACTATTTCAATCAAACAAATTGTTCCTAAACTGCGCCTTAAATTTCTCGTTACTAGCAGAATAGACTTGAAAATGCTATCATAATAAAAATTAAAAAGTATCATGACATTATATTTTTAACTTTAAAGTATACATCATAAATTTAATATTCGTAATTTCACCACAAAATATCATCACAAGAAATCATAACTTTTTATGGCGTGCACCTTTTTGGTGCGCGACGTATATTTCTTCTAAAACAAATATATGACATTAAAAATTAAAAAATAATAGATAAATTATAAATTATAAAATATCAATAGATAAACTCACAAACACATGATATTCCAAACTTACTAAATGAATTTTACGAGAAATTATACAAAAATAAATAAAAAAAATTCAAGGTTTGAGCCTGTAATAAAATAAATTTTTAATTTTATCAATTTAAACCTTAATCTTTTAATATATTTTCAATCTAAACCATTTTTCTTTAAAAATTTTTGTCAATTACAACTATATGAAAAAGTTTATTTTAGTTATTAAACTCAATGCAGGTATACGAAAAATGTCTAAAAGATTCGTTTCCATTGAGTTTAATGATTAAAATGCCTTTTTTCATACAGTTACTTAATGAAAATAAATAATGGTTTAGATTGAAAATAAATTAAAAAATTAGACTTTAAATTCATAAAATTAAAAACTATTAGTTTGCTTTTGTTTGTTTGTTTGTAAGGTTTATTTTGTTATAACTATTCTAGAGCACTACAGTCCATGGTTTGAAAATTAGTATAAATAGCCATCCCAAACCATGTTCACAGAGTTAGTCCTAAACTACAAAATCCTTAAGCCCCAATTTGGCTTCCCTCATTAGCCTTCATTTCCTTCACCATCAGTGTCCATGGCTTCTTATATTAGCTTAAAGGCCCATGCAATCCTAGCTCTTGCACTTGCCTTCTGTGTGCAAGGCATCATAGGTTAGTGAAAGCTTTTCTTTGTATAAATTATATTTTTAATTTTTATAGTTTGATTCATATTTTACTTCGGTTTATACCATTTTAAATTGAATAGTTTGATTTTTATCCCTTAAGTTTAGTTTCAATCCTTTCGCTCAAGTTAAACGTTCAAGTTGATAATGTTTAGACACTAATCGATCTCCTAAGATTTACATATAGAAAAAATTAAAGGGGACATACGTGCAGGTCTTCATAAGTGAATTTATTGTCCAATAGCTCTTGTGAGAATTAATGGCGTTTTTCATTAAACACTATTATTAAAAGTCACTAATTATTAATTTTCAGCGACAATTTAAAAGTTGTCACAAAAAATGTCACTAATTATAAGTTTTAGCAACAGTTTAAAAAACTCGTAACAAAAGGATATCACTAATTTTCAACTTTCAGTGACAGTTTGAAAATTTTGTCACAAAAAAGTCACTAATTGCAAGTTTTAGTAACAATTTATAAAAACCTAACTTGTTGGAGGACACTGTACTAAAAGGATTCCTTAATTTAAATTATTAACAACAGTTTAAAAATTCGTCATAGAATTCACCATAATATATACACCTCAATTTATAAAAACGTCAATATATACAAAATATGTTTTACATAATTATTATTTTTGTATTTCATGCCTAAATTGACCCATACCATAGACCACATCGCATTTTTAGAAGCAAAATGCTTAATTACTAAAAATTTAAAGATAAATTACAAATACATTTTTGAAATAATATAGATTATTTTTTATGGTTTGAAAAATTACAAATACTTTTTTTCAGAATTTTTTATTTAATAGAATTAACTAAAAAAATAAAATTCCTAACTACTCTCTTATACAATAATAAAATTATTTGAATTATTAATTGAAATAAATTTCAAACATCATTAAAAATTATAATTGAGTTGATGATTTATTAATGAAAGGTGTTATTTGTTATGAAATTAAAATTTTTAAAGGGTGGGATGTAATTTCTAAAATTACATAAAGTAATTGATATTTTAAACAAACTTTAAAAAGTGTATTTATAATTTACCCAATAAATTTATATAAACTTTCAAAATGATATAGTAATGACATGTTTGTAGATTATGATTATTATGTTTATGTTTTTAATAAAAAGACAGTAACAAGTCACATTATTCTCCACTCTAAAAAAAAAGGTCATGTTATGTTTGTATATTATTATTCATTTAAAAATATTCTTTTAATTAACTTGTTTTTTGGGGATATATATACATGTGTAGGTGGAGGAATCGAATGTGAGAATCTCAACAAGGACTCGTGTGCATTCGCAGTATCATCATCCAGTAAGCGCTGTGTGCTCGAAAAAATTGTGAAAAGGAGCGGAGAGGAAGCGTACACGTGTCGTACATCAGAGATAGAGGCTGATAAATTGAAGGACTGGATCGAGAACGACCAGTGCATCGAAGCATGCGGGCTTGATCGGACGATGCTTGGAATCTCATCGGACTCTCTTTTGGAGTCTCAGTTCACTCACAAGCTTTGCTCAACTCAATGTTATGATAACTGTCCCAACATTGTAGACCTCTATTTCAATCTTGCTGCTGGTGAAGGTACCTTCCTAACGTACAACCATATTCTACAAGAGTAGTGTCATCAAATTTTCAAAAAAATTGTTAATATATATGTTCATTACAATCCTATATCCATCCATTCCTTTTGGTTAAAATACAATGCTAAGTAGGAGGAAGGAAAAAAAAAAAGAAATCCATTTAATAAAATCTGCTAGAGACTGTTATTATGCATTATTAATACCATCCATGTGATTTTCTTTCTTTTTTTTTCTTTTTTTTTTTGTTTAAATAAAATAAAATTGGCAGGTGTGTTTCTTCCCAAATTATGTGAAGTACGAGGGGCAAATGCACGAAGAGAAATGGCTGAGATCAAAAGCTCCGGATACGTTGCACCTACACCTGAATCAGGAGGTGTCCACCCTGTTAAGTTCATGACAATTACTCCAGCAATGGCTCCTTATTGATTCTCCTAATTACTACTATATATATAGATGTTATGTTAAGTTTTTTAAAATTGGATTATAGTAAGTATACAAATAATAAGGAAGTTGATCCAAAGTTATTAGTGGCCGGGCTTGATTGATGGCATGTTCAAGTTGCTTTAACAAGTCATGTGCTAATTACAATTTGGTATTTTTACTTTTTCGTTTTTTTTGAACAAATTGTTGTGTTCTGTATCTCCATTGTCATATACCATATGAAGTTATGAACAATGTTCGAAAGTCTTGTACTTTATCATGTAGCAATCTTATTGTAACGGGTTTAGGTGAAACATAAGCAAGGATTGGTTGGTGCATTTTGTGTGATATATATATTGTTTTTGAGTTTGTGTCCAAATTTTTTGGTACAATTTATACTTACAACTTATTAATTAGAAATAATTTAATCAAGTTTAAAAAATTGATAGTCTAAGAAATTGAGGATACTTTTGATTTCTATCTTCTAATCATCTTTTGACTTACAAAAGGTTGTACCAAATAAGCTCAAATTCATTTCTACAATTTTGCTTCAACACAAATTTTTGAAATATGTGAACATTAATAGGTCTTAATAGTAATCTGGTATGGACTATCGAAAAATATGGAACACTTCTTAATTGTAATTAAACTTACTAATCTATTAAAATCCTATCTAGCAAAAAAACTAAACAGAAAAAAAAAAAAACTAACGGGGCTTTAGACGTGTATGGTGGTATATTTTCCATTCCCACAATTGTGAACTTTAGGAGCTAGAAGAATGTGAGAAGCGAAGTATGTATTTGTAAAATTGATTGATTGGGCTTTATCATTTTAGAAGGTTATGGATTGGTAAGCCTGAGCAACAGGTTTAAAATTTTATGGCGGCTCGGTTTAAAATTTAGGATTAGTGACAAGTCAGTCCTATGGATTTTGATAATGCAGTCCGTCCCGGGTGAATGGGTCGGTCCAAGCTCTTCAAGTTCCGGTTCAGGGTGATGATTCCGCCAAATGACCTGCAAGCAAGTCCAAAGGGGAACGGGGCAGTCCCCCAGTAAACCCTCCGGCGAGAGAATCAGTAGAGGAAGAAGGAAATGTAGAGAGAGAGAGAGAGATGAAAAGCTTAACCTTCATCTTGTCTTCTATTCTTGCTTATATCCTTTAGTAATCATTTCACTGTCCCTTGTGACGTGCCCCCTTCCGCCGAAAGCCTGTGCCGTAGCTTACCTTGTTCAGGGTGAAGGCACTCTGTTCCGACGGGGAGGTGTTGTCGTAATAAATGCTGTGATGGGCTGCATTAATGGTGATGTGTTGTGGTAATAACTCTGCAGATCTTTGTCTGCTGATGTGGCCTGTGTTTCACCTGCCATGTGCCCGAATGCCATTGGCCCTCCGTGTCTAGATGGCCTCCAGCTGTCCTGGGCTTTGCCAACCGGGTTATGCTATTGGTCCCAAGCGATGGGTTTGGGGTGGTTTGCTGTGGGCCGTATGCCTTGTGGGCCTATCCATGCCAGATTTGAATTTTTTGACTTTAAGCCTTGTTAATATTACATAAATAGTTATCAGAAAGATAAATTTTTCAAGAATGATAAATTTCTCAATTATATTGATAAATTTATTAATCTAATGAATAAACTCACAACTACACATATAAACAAAACCAAAATAAATTACATTGATAAACTTTTCATTCATAAGATCTATAGATCCGTGAATTTTTTACTCATGATTTAACAGTACATATGTCCAGTAGAAACCACTAGTAATGATCTCAAAAATTTTAAAGCGTAGATGCATATGAGTTTTGATTGGTCAACAGAAATATGGGTTTATGCGGGCTTCAGGTCGGGCTTGGCCCACTTCAGCCTAATTTAAGTTTTGATTTAGATTTTTTTATTAAATTCAAAATTAATTGAAAAAAATAGAAAATTAATATAATATTTTAAAATGCATCACAAAAATTAAATTTATATATTTGATTACAAAAAAATAAAAAAATTATTTATTTATTAAAGTAAAAAAATTACATATAACTTTTTAGAAAAATGACAGTTGCATAAAGAATCAAAATTTGAGACACCAAAATACAAACGTATTGCTTCAAAATTGTAACAAATTAGGTAAATGCACAATAAAATACATAATAACTATTAGGGGTGTGCGCGGTGCGGGTCGGTGCGGTTTGAGAGAAAAATATAAACCGTATGACGGGTGGCGGATTGATAAAAGTGTCACTAGAATTTGTCATTTTCCTTATAAAAAACCGGCGGTTCGGTTGGCAAATAATTGCGGATTTGTCTTGGCCGTTCGGGCGGATTGGCGGTTTATAAAAAATATAATTCAAATTACAAAACTTAAATCAAAGAGTAAAAAAAAGACGAGAGATACCGTGATGTTAAGCATCTTGAAAAGTGAATTGGAATCCAACTTTATTTTGGATTACTGACATCTTGAATTCCCCTCGAGCAGTAATGTAATACTATATTCTAAGGTATAGAACAACAAGCAAACTTAAGTAAAAAAGAATTTTTAGAATCTTATAAAATATGATTTAATAGCGGTGCGGGTCGGTGCGGTTTGGAAAAAAAATGGAAACCGGAGGATTGATAAAAGTGTCACTAGAATTTGCCATTTTTCTTATCAAAAACCGACGGTTCGATTGGCAAATAATAATGAATTTGCCTTGGCAGTGCGGTTCGGTGCGGTTTTGACGGTTTCGGTGATTTTGGCGGTATTATGCACACCCCTAATAACTATGTTCAATTAAACCCACCGTTATGTCATACTCATAACCCCAAAAAATATATATTTGCTATAAAAAAATAAGCAAAAAAGTTGTCAAAAAATTAGTTGTGTGAATCAAATCATTTTGAGTATAACTCACATCACGTTAAATTTAAATCTACACTAGATACTTTATATTTTTTTTCACTTTTTGAGTTATTTTTCTCTCTCCATAATTTTTGTCAAAAAATAAAAAATAAATAAAAACTCTTATACCAATAGTGAAGTAAAAAACTCACAGTATCTTTCTTCCCCTAGCATTACTTAAAATGGATTTCTATTTTGACCAAAGGGGGTAGCTTTTTCCCCAGCACTACTTCCGGATCCCCTCCTTGAGAAGCCTCCTCCACATCTTACTTGCAACGGCTGAGATTAGTCGTTGCACATCCAACGGTTGAGACAAAAAAAAAGAAATTGAAACTTTGGTCGATTCTCGCCCAAACAAAACACAGCTCAGAGGTTATACAGATACAGAGGTTATGCGCACTCTTACACAGCCTACACTCACCCCTTCTCCTTCATCGATCGCACCCTCACCGATGACCCAATACCGGCGGCCACCCACTCTCGACGCCTTTACAGATTCGACGACGGTAACCCACTATCAAATCGATACAGATTCTGTCTGCTTTGCTGCTTAGCAAACCAAAGCTGTCACGTTCTTCTCCTCCACCTCATCGAACCTGTCGCACCGGCAGACCCTCTCCACAGCACTCCCCAAATCGAACCCATTGGTTTGCCCCTATTCTATCTACCCTCACATCGCAAACTAGAGGTTAGTCTTCTTCATTGCCTTTGTCTCTGTAATTTATTATTTGAGCTTCAACTGAACTTAGTCTGATAAGTTTGTCTCTATCCTCAAGATTATTTGTTAATTGACAAGATTATTTGAGCTCAAACATACATACATTACCGTCTAACTGAACCCATTTGTCTCTGTCTAACAAAAAATTAACAACCTCATTATTTGCTTTGCCCTTATTTTTGTTAATCACAAATTAGATCAGATCTGGATATAATAACTGATCAGATCTGTCCTTCACCAAGAAAACAGACAAGTTCTATGTTCCACATAAATGGGCCTTTACTGATGAAAGATGTTACCTCTTATGTAGAAACTTGGCCAATTGGTTGTTTCTTTTGGCAATGCAATGATGCAATTGGTTGTTTCTTTTGGCAATGTCACAATAAGGTGATACACTTCCCTCAAGTTATTAGTCTTAACAGCTTCTCAGATGCAGGCAGCTTGAGAGGGAATACTAGATAGATTTGCTGCTTTATTGACTAGCAGTTTCTCTACATACTGGATTTGCACAATCAAAGTTAGGCCTCATTTCCAACATTAGAGCCTATTTTGACTATATAGTGAAAGATTCTAAACATTGGTGGACAAATAGATTTTAATATAATACTCGATCAAATGATTAGGAATAAGTTCTTTAATGGTCTTAAAAAGAAACAAAAACAATGACAAGAGAAAACTACATACATGACAGAGTACCAAGATATACATGTAGAAGTAGAACTAAGAGCTTATGATGAGAGTAATTTGGCATACCAACAATTACATAAACTTCATAAAAGTGAAATAACATAGAAATATGTTATCCATGAATGCTATTCACAATAATGAGGTTGTTAATTTTTTGTTAACAACTTCATTATCTGTCTCTATTTGTGTAATGGATTATTGATTATGTTTGATTGAGCTTGAAACATATCCTCTTCTCAAAAATGTGTGTTTGGAATTTTTTAAAACTGAACTTAGTCTCTATGTTTTTATGTCTGGAATTTTTTTTCATACTAAAATTATGTTTTTTTGTGTCTAAAATAAAGATTTAATTTATGTAGCTAAGATTTTATTTATATGGGTTTTCAGTTGTATTTTGATATGGATATGGAACCTGAGAATGATTGTGCTTGGAAGCCAAAACAGGGAATGACATTTGATTCTGAGCAATGTGCGTAGGATTTTTATAATACATATGGAGGAAGAATGGGGTTTAGCATAAGAAGGGATTATTGTAGGAAGAACAAGTTCACTAACCAATTTATTTGTGGACTTTTGGTTTGCAACAAGGAGGGATTTCGAAAGGTTGACAAGTGAGACCCATTGGTAAAAAATCCTAGAGCTGAAACTAGGACTGGTTGTGAGGCTCGACTTTATATTAAATTAGATGAGGCAACTAGGAAATTTGTTGTGACTGATTTCAAAGAAAAACACAACCATGATCTTGTATCACCCGAGTGTGTCCACGTGTTGCCGTCACAAAGAAAGATATTGACTACCCAAGCAATTGAGTTAGATTTGGCGGCACAATCTGGTCTTCGTTTAGGCCAGTCTATTGAACTCATGGATAGGGAAGCTGGTGGAAGGCAATGTCTTGGGTTTACGAAATTATATCAAAAAAATTATTTGAGAACAAAAAGACAACAAAGTTTAGCATATGGGAAAGTAGGCAATGTGTTGCAATACTTTAAAGAAAAATCTTTGCAGAATCACTCCTTCTTTTATGCTTTCCAGTTAGATAATGAAGAGCAAATAACGAATATGTTTTGGGCCGTTCATCCATATATTTATA